CAGAAATTGGGCTAAACCAATTAGTGGACTAATTTAGTAATCACTTATTGCATGCTCCAGATTTAGATACCTCTGAAAAGCCCCACCTATAACTGCAGGAGGCTTTGGGGGATACCTAGACTTAAGTCAAAGCATTAAGCTATAATTGTCCTAATGATAGAGGGGCAAGAAACTTCCAGCCTGCTAGATGTCCGTGAGTTCATGCTCTCTAAACTCCAAGAATAAATTCTAAGAAAAATGGAGGTAAAGAGTGAAATATATTTATTAGAGAAAGAAAGCTTCTGTCAGAGAGAAATAGAAGGGGTCTTGAGTGAGTTACTAAGGACCCTGACTTTCTAAGAGATTTTTATAATGCAAAACCATGAGATGAGGTGGGTCCATGGTGGGAAAAAATGGGAAATCATATGGTGGGCAGGACGTGGGACAAAATTATGGGTCAACTAATAAGATTACAAGCATACTTGATCAGATATTGATTAAATGGAGATCATACAGGGAAGCAAGTCATACAGCAGGCCAGCATGAAACAGAACAGTGGCTGTTCCTGGCTTTCCTATCTAGACTATCACTGCCTATTGTTTATCCTTAGGGGAAGTACGTGGGTGCATTCTTTTCATCTTTTCTCTTGAGGTCTGGCCCTCATGGGTATGTCTGTGTCTTCCCCCACTGTTGGAATATATCCCTTCTGCACTGGCTCCCTCTGCACTAACATTGTTTTCTTGGCAAGTGTGAGGTTCGACTCCTGCTACCAAAAAACAAAACAAAACCCACTAACATAGTTATCATGTAACAATATAAGTAGCCAGTCACTTAAGTAAAATATACATAAATACTGAACAACTATCCACAGCTCATTTCTTCAAACTTTTCTTCTAGGACAGTTGCTGAGGACCAGCTTGATAAGTACAAGAGGACTACAATTAATATTTATAAATAGGCACAAAGTGAGTTGAAATTCTGTCCTAGGCTTACATAATTTGTACCAGAAGTCCTGGATGGCTTAGGGACAGATTAATTTTTAAGTCAGTGGCCAGAGTCCCAGCTAGCAAACAGTCTATGAAGTTCTGGAGCCTTAAAGCAAGATAGCATAGCAGCTGAGGACTTAACTCATGCATATAATGTCTAGCTCAGTAGTCGCAGTTAGCAGACAATCAGGTTACCAGTTAACCCTGATCTGTTCCTGTGTGATTTTCCAAAAATGTTCTGTTCTTTTCGGTTCTGGAAGCTGGACTGCACCAGCATTTCAGACCCACTGCTTCCTGCAGCCCACTGGCACGGAAGCCAATCAAGCTGTGCCCCTAATAAAAACCAAAGACATCCTGCCTCGTGATGCTGGCCTGTCATTGGGCTTTGACATCCTGGTGCCCCTTGTAATTAAAATACGCATTTGTTTGTGTTTTATGCTATTGGTGTACCTCTGAGCAGATCTGTGGCGCCAACAGACAGTGATGGTAAATCTTTCGGAGATAGAGTGCCCAAGTTGCAACCCCAAACCCACTTATTTATCACAAAGTGCTAATACTGCAACTTCACCTGAACATCTGCTCAGCAGCTGGGGTGACTTAGCTGGTGAATGGAGAGGGCTCCATATGCCCGCTGTGGCACCTGTACCATAGGTTCACCATCACTGTTGTAGGATTATCAGTCTGTGGCTATAACAGCACATTTATATCCTGTTTAATATTTCATTGTGTTAAAAAAAAGTGCCAATGCAAAAACTCAACAGGAACCTAGGTAATAATAAACTGGATGTTGGACTGGGGATAAGCTTAGTAGCACAGAGCCTATGTAGCAAGTGCAAGATCCTGTGTTCAATTCGCAGTACCAAAAATAAAATAAAATAAAAAGTAATATAAAATGGATCTCCATTAAGGAAAATAATTTTAGTCTAGAAGTTTTTTTTTTCTTTTTTTGTACCAAGGATTAAACTCATAACCTCATGCTTGCCAGGTAGCTAAATCTGCAGTCCCTTGCCTAGAAGTATTTTAAACATACTTTGAATAGATTTTCTAAACTTGATTTTTACTAACAAAATAGGGGAAAAAAACCCAAATATATCTAAGTCTTAACTTCTAGTACTTGTGAACATGATCTCACTTGGAAATTGTCTTTAGAAAATACATTTAAGTTAAGGATCTCAAGATGAAACCACTGCAATCTACAGTAGGCCCTAAATTCTATGATTTCTATCCTTACAATAGAAAGACGAGAGAGATTTATGGACAGAATTGTTGGGAAAAAGTGCATGTGAAGATGGAAGCATATTGGTGTTATATCTGGTCCCTGGGCCATTACTCTCTGGGTCTTCCCCCTGCTCTGTGTCCTGCAGCAATGAGTTGATGGAGTATCCTTTACTATGCCCTTCCAAAATGATATTTCTGCCTTTTGGAGTCAACCATGGACTGAAACCTCTGAAACCATGAGCCAAAATATATATTTCCCTCCTTTGAATTGTATATGTCAGGAGTTTTGTCCAGCAACAGACAAGCTGACTAATGTAATAATCAAGTGGAGTGGATTACACAAAGACCTGAGTACCATCAGGCGAGGATCACTGGGTCATTTTAGAAACATCTACCAACTTTTCCATTTACTGTTCTTTACCACTATCTATCCCCATCATTCTTAGTTACTATATATTTGGGGTCCCCCACAACCAAAATGTTACCAACCCCTTAAATTCATGCCCTTAGGTTCATTCGCCCACCACTGACCAAGAGTCAAAGTGTTACAGGTAGCTGAGTTAGATAAACATATTATAGGCAGTCACACAAGGCTGGACGGAGCCAGTGCAGAAGATCAGGTACCTTGCAACTATGGAGAGACAGACACTTCCACTGTGGACCAGACCTCAAGACAAAAGATAAAACAAATCACTCATATTCTTACTAAAGATAAACATCAGGGATTGATTTTTTTTTTTTTTTTTTTTTTTTGTCTTTTTCCTTTTTACCGGTACTGAGCTCACGACTGCCTGCTTGCAAGGCAGGCGCTTATGCCGCTGAGCTAAATTCCCAGGCCCCAGGGATTGATATTATAAATAAGTCTCTATCACTTTGAGGAAGCCAGAAGGAGCCACCAACTCAATCCACTACAAGAAAAGGCCCTGTTCTGTATTCATGCCCTCTTGCTATATGACTTGCTTCCCCATTTGTCCCCGAGCTAATCAATTTTACCTGAGCAATTATAATCTTATTGGTTGACCACATTTCTGTCCCACCGCATACTCACCTTGCAATTCCCCATTTTTCCCCACCTTGGGTCCACTTTACCTTGTGATTTTGTCCAGCAACAGAAAAGCTGACTAATGTAATATTCAAGTGGTGTGGATTACACAAAGAGCTGACTGCCATCAGGTAGAGATCACTGGGTCATTTTAGAATCACCTAAAAATCCCTGGAAAAGGCAGGGTCCTTAGTAAGCCATTTGGGACCCCTTCTGTCTTTCTAAGTCTCTCTCTCACAGAAGCCTTCTTTCTAATGATAAATATATTCTACTTTTCACACCCTTTGTCCCTAAAATTCATTTTTCGACTTTAGAGAACATGAACACATACCAGACATCTAGGAAGCTGGGAATTTCTTTCCTCTATATCAAAAGGAGGCCATATATTTTTGTGAAAAGAAAAAAAAATTATTCAAAGCTAGCTCCAAGGACACGGAAGGGTACATTTTCCTCAAATCACCATCTCACCATGACCAGATGGGCCTCGATCTTTTATATTAAGGAAAGTGGGGAAGGCACAGAGAGAAAATGTAAGTCTCCACAGTTGCTTTATCACACTGAGCTGTTTTCAACCCTTTGCCCTGGAAAAAGAAACCGGGTTCCTTTCCTGAGCTGGTGGTATGTGCATATTCAGTAGTTATTTTGGGCTGAGGATAGGAGGTAATATTGGCTTTGTGTTCAGCCTGAAGAAGTTTGGTGGTTATCTCTAGAAGAAAAAAAAAAATCTAACTTTTTAAAGTTTCATTTTGCAGTGCGAGTTACAAACCCATGACTTAAATTTTATTTCTTACCAAATGAAGAAAGCTTCAAGGGAATCTGTGGGTAACCACGCAGATTGCTTCAAAGTTCGGGGGTGTCTAGGGATACCTGACGATATGATTCTTACTCGTCTGGCGCATGTGCGCAGTGGGATAGAGTTACGTAGCCCAGTCTTGGCAGAGGTAGACGCATGCGCTGATTATGGCGCTGTGTAAGAATGTAAATGGGAGCTAACAATCTATATGAGAATTATGCATAAAGATGCAGGCGGCTCTTGCTCTTAGGTTCCTTGCTGCCTGCTATTGTTGCTGATGTTTTGCACAAGTGCGCTCTTTAACCTTGGGACTTAACCTGTGAAAATCTTCCTTGGGTCTCTGAGCCAGCACACACAATTAGTAATTATTCCAAGACTGATTCTACAGCTAATGTAGAGTGGAAGCAAAACTTGAACCTAGGTCTTTTACTAAACCAGAGCGGTTTTACTTATTTTTTTTGTATTTTTGTTTTATTTTTATTTTTTTAACTTATTCTGGACTTCTTAAACTGAGAAAATAAGCTTTCGCGCTTTCGATTTAAAAAGCAATAACTCTGGGACTGGGGATTTAGCTCAGTAGCATAAGAGCCTGCCTGGCAAGCATGAGGTAGTGAGTTTGATCCCCGGTACCACAAAATAATAAATTAAATAAATAAATAAATAAAAAGCAATAACTCCCGACTGTCACTTCCTATCAGATTACAATTTTCTCACAAGTTGCCACTCTGAGGTAAGAGTGGTTACTGAATTTTAACAGATAAGCAGAAACACAATTAGGTCTTTGAGCAAGTGCAAAACCTGGCTTTTCAGCTACTGGATTTTTTTTTCTTTTCACCCTTTTAAAACAGGGAGTCCGTTGTGCGCTAGGCACTTTGGGAGTTGTAGTCTTTAGTGGGTGGCACCGACTCACAAAACCCCAATCAGCAGCTAGCCAGCTGCTCTCCGTGCAGCGATTGGTTTGAAGTCAGCTGCGGCCCGCCCCACGGCGCCATCGCGCTATCTCTAGTGGCAGTGGCACAGTGAAGCGTGCTGTGACGGGGTGCAGGTCAGTGCTCTGTGCCTGATACGTCTCTGTGGACATGGCCGAACCTCAGCCTACGAGCAGCGGCCTCACTGACGAGGCCGCATTGAGTTGCTGCGCCGACGCAGACCCCAGCACCAAGGTGGGCACGGGGCGTCCTCCCGCGTGGCCCCTGGAGGGAGCATATCCTGGGGCTTCAGCCTTGGCTGGGCCTGAGGGGCGGGATTTGAACCCTGTCCGCCCATCGCTGCAGGCCGGCTGGCGTTGGGCGGACCAGAGTGGATTGGAAGAAGGGATAATGAATGGAGTCCCTTAGGAGCCACTGTGAGGACCTGCGAAGAATGTTCTTCGGATCGTTTCAAAAAGACTGCGGCCCGATTTCCCTTGACCTGTTTATTTTTGGGCGGTATTTGGAAGCCAGGCCACACCAGGGTCAAATTCCTTATCTCGTGGTTGTGCGTGTGGCCCAGAGCCGTTTCACTACTCCCGCGCAAAGGTCCCTGACAGTGCTGGGGCCTCCTAGTTTTCGCAGCCGCCCTAACAGCAGTTAACTCCTCCAGTCTCCTGGGATCGCTCCTTTGCTTGGTGTTGGCTATTGCTTTCAGCCACTCTTTGCCTTAGCGAAGTGTGGTGGCCCCAGGGGGCAGACCGTAGAGTTTAAATCTTAGAAATTCCCTGTCTGACTCAATCGTTTTAATAGTTGTGACTAAGAGGAATGATTGTTGAATTTGCAGGCTTTCACTTGCATAACACGATTGTATTGAGTCAGGGTAACTAACTCACTCAGGTATGATGCCTCCTGCCTTGTCCAAGGAGATGGGAGTTTAATGCTGTGTCATCAAAGTTTATTCTTGTGTAATCATCAGTGTCAGCACACGTTTGTATTCATTTATTTTCAAATTCCCAGAAGATTGATTTTGGGACTTTATACAAATCTCTGTCAAAAAGAGGCAGATAGATGGTCAACAACTTTCATCTTTGCCTTCAGGGCAGTCTGACATCTACTTGCTAAAGCTTTTGACCAAGACTTGCTAAATACTTAGCTTAGGAAAAATGTTAGTTACTACAAAATTAAGGGAGTAAGGAAAGGATGCTCACATGGTAGACTGAAGATAGATCGTGAAGGAAGTGTTGAATGTTACATCTATGAAAGTTGGATTTTATGTGGTAGGTGGTGGAGAATGATCCAAGATTTTGAAGCGTTTTGCAGCTTGGTAGCACTTTCTCATACTTAGCAATGGGTGGTCATTTTATATACCATAAATAAAATCAGTGTAAATTAATTTCCCACATAGCTGAGGGTTTTATGTCCTGGACTATTGGAAACAAACAAAAAAAGATTACAGGAGGTAGGGTAGTAACTTAGTGGTGGAAAGTATGTATTTGGTCTCAAGGTTCATTCTGCACACACACACAAAAGATTCCAGGAGCATTTAAAAATACACTTCCTGTGTTAGGTGCAATTGAGAGGCAAAAGAAAGGAAAAGAAACCTTTACTGAGGTTGTGGAGAGGAGCACACAACTTGTAGGGCTGGGCTCCTTCTCTGATGGGAGATAAGCAGGGTGGAGATTATATGACCTATGGTCAGGGGCGGAGTTTGGGGCGGGTGCTAATGATGTGTGAGGAACTAAAGAGGAAGTTGTGATCAGTGCTGGGGGCAGTGAGTGGTCATCAGGGAAATTGTTGTTTTTTGCTTTGGTCTTCTGCTGTGTTAGACCATTGCCATAGTATTCAGTAATTTGTACTAGGGCAGAAAGCTTTCCTTCCAGTCTTTTTGTTGTTAGGAAGGGGCTACAACTCTCTTAGAGTGCTTCATGCTGAATGAGGGCATTGTGTTGGGGATTGGGAGGGTTGATGGGACAATGGCTAATGCCCATGTAGAAGCTGGTACCAGGTGTTTTAGCCAGGACAGGAAGTTTATCATTGGTGAACGCTTGCATTCTACACTCAAGAAATCTCTAAAAAAAGTTTTAAAAGACGAGGTGCTATGAGGAGGCAGGTTATTATCATAACTAAAGGACCTAGGACAGGTAGGAAGAGTGCCTATGATCCAAATGTATTGCTCCACTAGGACCATGGTGAGGAAGAAGAGTATCCATGGCCTAGCTGTAGGTGCTTTTTGTTTAGGTAGTTCAGAGACTTTTTATCTTGTCCATGACAATTCCCAGCTCATTTATAAAGAAACAACATTCCGCTCCCAGCACAGCACAGGTCTCCCTCTTTTGCTGTAAAGACATTTAGAGCTCGCTGGTTCTGGAGAGTCCCTGCTGCAAGGCTAATTATATGGTTCTGGAGTGAGTGGACGGAGATGGTTATGTGTTGTAGCTATTGGTGAAGCTCCAGGGAGAGCTGATGATAAAGGTGGGCTGCCGTGCCTGTTCCCCACCCCAAGGCCAGCTGAGTACAGAGAGAATATTGAGGCCAACAAGAACTGAAACGTGGATGGCTGTTGTTTGTCAGGTGAAATGTGTACCGTGGAGTTGGGATGAGAAAAGATTTTTATGGCATCCTGAGAGTTTACTGTTAGGAATGGAACAGATAGGACTAGGGTACAAGATCTTGTCCATTGGTGAGGAAGGCATGTGTAGGCTCCTGTTTGCCAGCCAGGAAACCAGGCCTAGAGGCCGATGGCTATGTTCTGGTTGGAGGTAATGTTGTGAGTGCAGTGAGTGAGGAATGTCCTGCATTTGTTGAGAATAATTTTGACACAAAGATACCAGGAAAGTGAGGTTAGTTGGCCAGTCAGGAGGACTATAGTTAAAGAGAGGGCCCACTATGGCTGGATTTTGTGGATGGGATAGGTAAGAAGTGTTCCAGTATGTGGGGGCAGCCATTTAAACATTTTGTTGGTGTGGAATGCAAAGCCAGCACTCTGTAAGATTTGTGGAGTGTGATAAGGTAATGTATGCTGTGACAGAAGTTGGGGAATGGGTTGAGTTTGATGTGGAAATACTTGTGGCAGTGAGGTGGGTATTACTGGGGTGTTGATGGGGTGGGGCTATGGGTTTTACGCATAAAGTGAAGAAATTGCCTTGTGAGGTTGGATTACTTGGGTCATATTCATGATGGTCTTAGAAATAAAGGGCCCAAGTTTTGCCCATGAGATATTAGGATGTGATACATTTTAAAATTGTGAATCTTACCTGTTTTATACTGTTTTTCCCCATAAGTTGTGGCCGAGATGAATGGATCTGTTTCCTTTTTTTTTGCAGTGTGTGTGGGAGGGTAACAGGGATCAAACTCAGGACTTTGTGCTTGCCAGACAGGTGTTTGTGCTACTGAGATAACCCCCAGGCCCCATCAAATATTTCCTCTTGTGTGGATACTGATGGTTTCACATCTCAACTTGGCGAGGTAAAACTAGATAAATTAGGTCTCCTAGGAATATGGGAGAATCTGATTTGGTCCCATCAGAGGGTTAGGGAAGGCAGAGATCAGCATGTTGTTATAACAGGTGTTGGAAGAAGGAGAGGCTCGGGATAGAGTCAGCAAGAGGAGGGAGTTTTGGGGAGGTAGGAAGATTGCGGAGTAGGAATGGTTGGCCATACCTGAGTACAGAAGGGCTTAGAAAGGTAGGAGAATGAGGAAATGCTCTGAGCTTGGCTAACACTAAGGAAAGAAGTTGAGGCCAAGGTTGCTGTAGCTTTAAAATGAGTTTTATGAGGTGTGTTTTTCTGAGGCCATTTGCCTTTCCTACTTTTCCTGAGGATTGCAGATGGTATGGAATGTGTGGGTGCCAAGTGAGGTGTAAGCTTCAAGATACCTGTTGAGGGATCTGAGAAATAAAGGCTGGACCATTATCTAACTGGATACTCTGAAGTAGACCAAACCTAGGAATGATTTCGTGTAATAGGATTTTAATAACCACATCAATTTCCCTGGCCCCGGGAAAGGCTTCCATCTATTCTGAAAAGGTACAGACAAAGGTAAGAAGATATTTAAGAGTTTTGTGGTGAGGCTTGTGTGTGAAATCTACCCTGTCAGTCCTGACTAGGGGTGTACCCAACCCATGAAATTGGTGAGTAGGAAAGGAAGGGGGTGGTACGTGTCCCTGAGGAGAGGTTTTAACACAGACATGACAGGTGTGGGTAATCTGGAGGCTGATAGCTCTCAGAAAAGGATGTGTAACCTCTCAACCCAGCAACTTTGCTTTCCACCTCAAAAGAATACCTTCATCATGACTGCATTGAGGTCCTGCAGATGACTCCCACCCCTTTTCCTCACATTAGTAGCACACCTCTCTCTAGTCTTTGACACGTGGTTCATAGATGGCCATTTGACAAACACAGACAGTCAAAAAAAAGAGAGAGAGAGGTGAGAAGCAAAGTTGCTGGGTTGAGAAGCCTACAGGTTGCAATGGAGATGAAAGGGTCCTGCAAGAGGACTAGATGCACCTGTTGCATCAAGGCAGGGGGTGTTTTATGCAAAATAAGCTCATTTAGATGATGAGGTGAGTGTACTATAGTAGATAAATGGGAAATTTTTAGCTTCCTGTGTCAGTACAGCTGTGGCTGCCAGGGCTTGGAGACAGGGTGCCCATCCAAGTAGTCTGCTGCTTGAAAAGAAGGTCCCTACATAAGTGCCTGCCTGGCAAGTGTGAGGTCGTGAGTTCAATCCCCAGCACCAAAAAAGTAAAAAAAAAAAAAGAAAAGAAGATCCGTTTTTGTGCCCCAGTACACCTACAGCATTGTGACCTTGAGTGTACAGAGTGAAGGGTTGTGTGGGTTCAGGGAGAGTGAGGGCTGGACCTTTAAGAGAGCCTTTTTTAACTTATGAGAGGAGAAATGTATAGGAGAGTGGCCATGGGTTGTATGGGTAAAGTGTGGGATGAAGAACATAGGAGAAGATCATCAGCATATTGAAGGAGAGTACTGGGTTTGAGGTCAAGAGCTTTTAAGGTCAGCAGCAAGGCCTTGGCTAAAGAAATGAGGATGGTCTCTGAATCCTTGAAGGAGCACCACGCAGATGAGTGGTTGAGACCTGAGACTGTCTGGGTCAGTCCACATAAACGCAAAGATATCCTGACAATCAGGGTATGGGGGATGGCGAAAAAGGCATCTTAAGGTCTAGGATTGTGAAGTGAGTGGTGGAGGGAGGAATATGAGAGAGCATAGTTTAAGGGTTTGGCACCACTGGGTGAA